AAGCATGCCATTTTAGAAGTGTGAAAGGTTGCTGTCTTAAAAGAATGTAGGGAGATAAGTGAAAGGAAAGAATCTTAGTGCTTGGGTTTCTGGTTTGAATATCTACATGGGTTCACTCGACAAAATATGGAAGAGAAAGATATTCCTGCCATTTCCCAGGACAATCAGTGGTGGACAGTTGCTTCAGTAATCCTCCTTGCTGCCCTGTCCAGACTCACTAGCATAGGAGCTGGGTGTAGCTCTCTCTCCGCCATATGGATCTGGAGGAAGGGCTTGCTGTGTCCTTCTCAAATTGTTACCAGCCCACATCCACTGGCAGTTTGGTGGCTATATGTATGGATAAGAAATACTGTCTAGTGAGCTTTTATTCTACTCAGTGTACCGGTTGTCTCATTTACTTTTCACATTCTCCTTGCCCCTGGATGGCGGATGGGGTATTCCTAATGCACAGAGTGGAGGCTCAGACTCAGACACTGGCCCATAGTTACACAGGAGAGGTCAGATTCAAACACAGCCTGCTTTGGTCCAAGTCCAACCATAACCCTAATTATATTTTGACCCAAAAAGATAATCCTAGAGAATTTCAGTGCAAAGCCATAAATAAATTACATAAGTGTTGTAGTTTGGAGTTGTTGCAAGGGAAACAATACAATACAGGCCATATTTTATATAATTATTTTATAATCACCTAAAGAATCATATACCAAGAGTGTAGGAAATCTGTCCACATACTGAAGACCAAAGAGTCCAGTTGAAGGCCTGGATCCCACAGTAGTATCCTGCAGGAGTCCGGCCAAAAACCTAGAGCCCATAACAATGCCTCTCACGAGTCCCGTTGGAGGTATACAGCCCATGGCAATGTCTCATGCAGGCCCGCTTCATGGATCTGTGCTGGGAAGCACCTGAGGTCAGTGGTGGAAGCTAGAAAGCCTACGCCAGCAGGATGAAGGATCTGTGCTAGCAGGCTGAGGGATCTGAGCTGGAGCCAGGAAGCAACACTCAAGGTAAGCACCAGAGCTCCCCTAAGAAGTACCACAGCCATCCTCGGCAACAGTGAGGGTCTGCGCTCCTCCAGTGAGGGGGAAAGCCGAGTTCACATCAGGAAAGCCCACATGACCAGCTTCTCCAGGAGGCTGGGCAGTGCACCATCTTCCCCTCTGGAGCCAGGAAGCAATGCTCGAAGGCCAGAGCTCCCCGCAAATGAACTGCAGCCGTTCTCAGTGTTGAGGTCCTGAGCTCTTCCGCCAGAACAGCCAAGTTTATCAGGAAAGCCAGAATGACAAAGTCGCCCAGCAGAACAGCCCGAGAGAGCCAGCAGCTTCCAACAGCTCCAACAGCTTCTCCAAATAGCTTTCCTAACAGCCTCTCAACAGCTTCTCCAGCTCTCCCTCTTATGCTGCTGGCAACAATCCTCTGGTGGCCTCCCACACCTGGCACCACTCTAGTTCAGCTGCATGTAACAAGTTGACCAACAGTTAACAATCCACTATACAGCGATACATTGACATGTGGATATGAGATATGAGAATTGTTCACTTAAAAATTTAGTGATCAGCATGTAGAGAAAGTGTTCACCAACCCAGAGAAAGTAAGTAGTTTCCCTGACAAGATACAACTCACAAGCAATTGGGCATGGGTCCCTGGCATTGAAGCCTGTGTGCTAAACTTGTGTGCAGAAGTCCTTTCCTTAAGGAACAGGAGCTGAGGAGGAAGGAGAAATTAAACTTCTAGAGTATTAATCAGCATTTGATTTGATGGGTCACTTCTTACTTGACAGCGTTATCTTCATTTTGGCTTGAAAGATTATCCTACTTTTCTTGTACTTTAGGAACAGTTGTGCCTTTTCTGCATGCTCATTCTCTTCCTGGTACACTTCTGGGGCCAGACCTCAGCCCTTCCCTTTTCCTCCCTACTGGGTTGTTTAATCCATTCCCAAGGCCTAAACCCCACCTGAGTGCTGCTGATTCCTGTATGTGTCTCCTGACCAATCCCAGAGTTCACATACTTGTGTATCCAGCAGCCTTACCTGACATTTCTACTTTAAATCATGGTCATCACACATTGAAGTGTCGACCACTAAGCTGAGTTCACTTCAAAAACCTGTTTTCAGGGCCAGGGAGATGGCTCAGTAGGTTAAGTGCTTCTCTGGCAAGCACAAGGGCCCAAGTTCAATCCCTGGTTCCACCAAAACAAACAAACAAACAAACAAACAAACAAACAAACCAACCCTGTTTTTACTCCTATAACCAATTACCAAGTCTTCTCTACTCTGCCTTCAGAATATACACCAAGTCTGCTTTTCTCTCCCATTATTCCTGTCCCCTGGGTCCAAGCTACCAACATCTCTAGCCTGGACTAAAGCTCTAATCCTAGCCTGCCTCCTACTCAGGTTTCCACTTACCTTGAGTCTGTTTCCATAGAGTGTCAATATCATCTTTTAACACTGTGTAGAAATAGGCTGAGTTTTGCACTGCTTAGTGTAACGCCTAGGCTTCTTGCTAAGGCCCAGGTGCTCTACACTTGTGTACTCACTGAGCTCCTGCTGCGCCAACCTTGCCGTCTTCTGCGCGCCCAGCTCCTCCCCGTGCCAGCGCCTCTGCGTGTGCTGTGCCCTCTGCTTGGAGTGTTGTCTCTGGGATCTCTGCATGGTTTATGCCTTATCACTTAGGTTCTTGCTCTAATGCCACTTCTGATTGCCCTGTCAGAGACACCCATCCGTCTCACTCCAGAACAACTCTAGATCCTTTGTTTTCCGCAGCACGTACTCCAATCAGAGATGACTTGTTTTTTTCCTTTCTCCCCGCACTTAAATTGAAGTTCTAGGACAGAAACCGTGAGTGTCGTGTACACATAGTGCTGCATCTCTGGCAGCTCAGGCAACGCCTGTACGGGGTAGCTAGTGTCATAATGGGCCGGTGGGCATTGGGAGCTAGCTCTATCCTACTGGAGAGTGATGTTGGTCTCTCTCAGTCCCTGCGAGAAAATCACAAAAGGATTTAGAAAAGAAAGACAAGAGATAATAGCTGAGGTCAGGTGATGGACCGTGCCTGACTAGTAAAGGACCCCGGAACAAGAGCAGGGAGTAGGAGTGTTTGGTCCTTTGCAAAGTTGCAGGGCACGATGTTGCCTAGTGACTATTGGCCCACAAAGTCCAGGGAGGATGTTTTTCTCAAGAAAAACCTACTGAGGTAGGTACCTACTGAGGTAGCTTGACCGCTTTGGGCAGTGAGGCCTCCCCCTGCCCTCCCCCGCAGGATCAATTTCCAGCTTCAGACTCCCAACGTCCTCATAAGGGTCTGACTGCGCACAGTTATGGAATGGAATATAAGCACACATGAAATTTACTGTTTTCCACCAGTCACATTAAAAAAGTGAAAAGTGGTGAAATTAACTTTAATACATTTTATCTAAGCTAATATATCCAAAATATTGGTATTTCAACAAATAATACTAAAATAGTGTACTTTTTTTTGAAACTAAGAACTCATTCTGGTGTAAATCCTAATTTATACTTAGAGCCCATCTGAACTGAGACTGGCCAATGTCCAGTGCTCCATAGCCACATGTGGCTAGTGGCTGCCACATTAATGAAGGGCGGGTGGCCTAACCCACCGTTCTTGTTCTCTGCCTCTGGAGGATTTGGAAGGGCAGGAAAGTAGAAGCTTATGGCAGGGGAAACAGTCTTTCTCAGCTACCCATCTCCTTTCCATCTCCCAAACGAGCTGTGAGAATGTCCCGGCTCACAGATATCTGATCAGATACTCAGAATAATCACGGTGACCAGGCGCTCCATCATCTCATTTAACTCATCACACACGCCCGTTTTACAGCTCAGGAAACAGGTTCAGATAAGCTGCATACCATCCAAAGGTGAACCGCTGGTGTTAGTTCTGGGTCACACCTTTGCCTGTGTCTAGTTCTCCTCTTTAGTTTCTTAGATACCCTAGATCTGACTTAAGTGCTAGATTATCTTTGGGTCTCGGCTTTGCAGATTTTTTATTTTATTTATACATTTATTTATTTTTGTGCCTGGAATTAAACCCAGGGCTTTGTGCATGTTGGACAAATGCTCTACTGCCGAGCGACACCCCAGTTCAGCCCCAGAAATTAGTAATGATGGACTTAGCAGCAGAAGGCACTGCCTGCTACAATTTCCTCTTCTGGGGAAAGCAATGCTGCGACCAGCCTCAGGGCGGTCCAAGATCCAGTGAAATGAAGATGGCCTCTCCGTGGCTAAGCACAGCGCCAGCTGCCTGGCGGCTCTCAGGTCCTGCAGTGCTCTTCTCTTACTGACTGCAGACTACCTCGGGCTCCTAGTTCCCTTTCTGCCCTAAGCAGCTTGCGCCGTGGGGTCCTAGGGCTCTGGCTGCTGTCTTTAGCCACAGGGGAGGGTGACACCTGAGGGCTGGGGTAGGGTGCGGCTGCCTCAGAACTGGTGTTGGAAGGCCTCCTCACTGCTGGACAGCTTCCCACGGCGCGGCGCACTAGCCCTCGGATGGCCGAATACAGACGCTTGCGGGATGCGCTTCATTCCGCCCTCAGCCTCGCTGAGGCCCGGGAAATCCCACTTCCCACAGGCTGCTTTCCACTCTCTTCCTGGCCCTGTTATGCAGCAGCTGGCACAAATCTTCCTCCCAGTGGCTGATAGGTGACCTTTCTGAAACAGCTAGAACAGGTCACAGCCCAATTTAAAAATGTCTTCAGGATTGACTGAGCCCAAAGTCTTGGCTTTTCATCCATCGAACCAAATACCTGAAAGCTTGCTTTTCTAGGGGCGCCTCGCAGTGTGGACCCCAGGCTCACCTGGCAGTGTGGACCCCAGGCTCACCTGGCAGGCCACCCCCACGCCAGCCACGCCCACGCGCTCTGAGTGGTCATCCGCGAAGCGCCCTCGCCGCGCCACCGTGGAGACGACAGTGTGCCCGGCTGCTTCCCGGATTGTGAGCTAAGAGCCTGTGCTGAGCCTAGCTCTGCCCGACAGAGCGCCCTCGTCAGGGCTGGTTCCCCCACCCGCAGGCGGCCAGCGAAAGAGCGCGTCCTGCCCGGGAATGCCTGGTCCCAAGGTGAGCCCGCCGGGTCTCTGGGCTCCAGGGAGGGATAGCTCCAGGCAGCCATGCCCAGGTGGGCCCAGGGCACTCCTGAGGCTCGGACAGGTGCCCATGCAACATAACACTATCCTCTGGCATCCTGTCTCCTCCCCTGCCAGACCCCAGCTTCTTGATAATGCCACTTGCACCTTGTTCTTCTCTCTGCCCCTCCAACACGCAGGACCTGTCACAGAGCAGGCATTGAAGAGATTAAAGTAGAAAGATGCTGCTGGGCGTGGTGACCCCCAAGGCCAGCCTGGGCTACATAG